ATACTATGCAATGTGAAGAGTGTAAGGAAACAGACTTCTGGTTTAGCTGCCTGCAGATTTATGTCCAAGGGATTGCTGGCACTCTGCCATTCCTGCTTACATTTCCATTCAGGTTACTTTATTTTTATCCTGTTTGTATACTACAGGAATGTCATACCAGTTTATACCAGTTCTTATTCAATTTTTCCTCTTAGAAAATAAATACAGCACAGCTTAATTAACATTAAAAATATTAGGAACATTGCTTTCAAAAATCAGATACTGTTGATTTGTTTCAGCTACATTCACATATTCACACATATCTGAAGGAAAGTGCCACGTCCACGAGTCCAGTCCTTTTTTTCAGATTTCTTTTCCGATTTCTTCAGAACCTGGGGAGGGATTACTTTTTTTTTTTTTTTTTTTTTAACTGAAACCATCCATTCTTTCCCTCCCCACCCACCTCTTGGCTCTTTTCAGTTATGCCTTCTGTGACACTTAACAACTGTTGATTTTGCAAAGAGCTGCTCTGTTCCTCTACACAGCCAAAGCTCATCTCCCCACCACTTGGCTCAAGGGAGAGAAAGACAGAGAGCAGCACTCTAAGCAGAAACCTAGCATGGTGGTATGAAAAGCCATCAGGAAAAATGTTCTTTCACTTCACTGATGACAAATTGTGCACTGATAGACCTCTAAGCCCAAGCTGAGTGTCCAGGCAAGGCAGGACGAAGGCTGCCTGGGAAGTTTTTCTAGGACACGACCCGTATATCTAACAACACTAGCTAAGACATGGGAGTAACAGTTAAGAGAGTACACAGGCATAGTCGGGCCTCACCAGTCTGTCCATTCAGACTTTTTGCTGGCTGAGTGGTTTCCACAGATATTCTCAGGAAGATCTGAGATGACGTTAAGTTTGTGGTTGCCCTCTTTCAAACAAACTGAAAAAAGCATGCAGCAGCCACAGAACAACAACCCTTCCTTCCAAAGCTTTGCCTGCCAATACCTCTGTTTCTCTGTGCCCAACCAGACAATTACATCTTAGTTTACAGGTGTTTACTCTCCAGCAGAGCTGTTGGTGTCCATCTTTTATACAAAACAAAAACCTTCTGTGGCTTAGTTCAGACATTTCAAATAAAACTCCCCTAATCGGTAAACATTTAAAATCAAGTCCTTGATTATTGCTTAGGAGTACAAGTCAATGATAATGAAGTAGGTGTTGGGGATGAATCATTGTTTTCCATGCCATAGTTCCTATTTTGCAGTTTGCTAAAAAAAAAAAAGCAAAAAAAAAGCAAAAAAAAAAAAGCTGAAACCAGGTAATGGATTCAAACTATTACATATATAAAAAGCTGAAAATCTTGTTGCAAATACACTCTCCTTTGGCCCCATTCGTTAACCCACTCTCTCTTTGCTTCCTGAGTACTTAGCTCAGCACACTTATCTTTACACTTATCTTTAAATACACAAAATTTAATTGGAAAACATGCAACTTCACAACCCACTGATTGAGAAATAGTGTTCATCATTGTAAAAAGTGATTGCGACAAGTGGTGGAGCTTTCAGCATAGAAAACAATGGCCTTTGCTCTATGACTGCTACCCTGTAGACAATTATCCTCCTGTAAATACACGTACTGGTTTTGCTTGGCTGAATATATTTATGGTGTTTCTTTCAACCCAGTGTTTTTATATCACCCATTCATCAAAACGCCATTGGTAAAGAAGTGACAGTTTCAAAACAAGCACTCTGCAATACAACAACAGAATAGTTGACAATTACAACTGACAACTACAAAAAACTCTTGCTCATCGAGCACTACCAGATACAAAAATTACCTGGTTCATCTGTCAAAATTCAGCTGCACTGAGATTTTCCACTTGCATTGTTCTGTATTCCCAGTGCTTAAATGCTGACGTGAAATTCCCATGGATATTAAAGATCATGGATTAAGTTAAAACAGGGGACCGGACCTATGCGGGTATGTGGGAGAAGAAAAAAAGGCTTCTCTCTGAACTGTTCTGGCCAGACATACCTTCAATCCAGAGAGAACTGGATTAGCTCTCCAAGGACATAAAGGACACACGTTCCCTCTTCCAAACATTAGTTTCCTTCTTCCAAACTAGTCCAGTCTGTGAACTGCATAAGGGAAACATCACACCTTTGGCATTGCTCCTCAACCACCTTCAGGAGCAGGGAGATGTCTGTCTGAACGAGCATTTAAGCACAGGGCAACATCCAAACACCACAACTAAGACTAGAGTTAAACCTTCAGTACCTCAACCATATGACTTTGCTTTCAGATAATTAAACCAAAGGTTTACCTATGGTTTTGATGCTGAAAAAACACTTTATATAAGTCCTTGTGAGATTAAACTAAAACGACAGACACTAAAAACTCAAAAGCTAATCTTTTTTTAAGTATCTCTTTAAAGTCCATGTTTGCAAGGAACTAGAATCTTGTGTAGGAAGGGGCTGTGCTATAAATGACAAACTTGTTCCTAAAAGCTCCAGCTACCTAGTAACAAAGAATAAAAACAACCAAACATTATGCTAACATTGGGTAAGTTTGCCATAGTTACATCCTCTGATATTTCTGGGATTGGTGATCTTTTAGAGTAAATCTTACAGTGAATAGTCTGTTGTGTGCAATGAATTTGGTTTTACTCAAGAAGCCTATTTAGAGATTTCAGGTTTTCACGTGGTCAGTACAAACTATGTACACAAACAAAAAAATCTATAATTACAGACTTCTATCTTCTCATTAGATACACTGTGAAAAGAAAAATAAAGTAACTTGCAGGGTTTCTCCTGTATAGGGAATTTGCACTTCACTGCAGGAACCTTCATGTTACCAAAACATTTATTTCCTTGTAATAAAACATAACTTATCATCCATATGCACACTTAGTCTAATGGGAACTTAAGACCCACAGAAATCATCTTGGTCATCAAAGTAAGTTTTTTGAATCAATGACTAATCTGAACGGGTCAGAAAGATGTACACCAAGTATCTAATATCTTGTAAGATGTGACTGGACATCTTGGGACCAAAGCATTCTTTTGACACTCACACATAATGTCCTGATGATGCACATTTAGACTCCTTAATCTCATGAACACCGCTAACCAAATATGTTGTATTTATCCTCAACTTTGACAAGGAAGTCAAAGGAAGCTACAGAGCCTTTTTTTTGTGCCAGCCATTTCACAGATGGGAAAAGAAAACAAAAGCATTTTATATCTCACATACAACAGGAGAGATTGATTTTTTTGCTTGTTTGTTTCTAAGACCTCTGTATATCCACTCAAAGCAGAAATGATGGGGCTAGGATGTTGGTCTCCAATACTTCTTGCCTAACTGCTCTAAAATCATCAAAAGATCAAAAGAGCCATGTACCTCATCTTCATTCCATCACCTCTTAGAAGAGGGGAGAGTGGAGAAAGAGAGCTAGCACGCAAGCCAGGAAGGGAGGTACAGCTACCCCGCCACCTGAAGGCATGACATAAGTACTGCTACAGTAATCATGAGGCAACAGTGGTTGACAACTGCAAATAACAGTATCCCCACAAGTAACACAATATGATCTTGTTTCCATTCACAGGCACAAAACAAGTCTAATATAAAGCGAAACTGATATATCTGACCTAAAACCCTAATCGAGTCTGATTTATGACTTCCTTATTATGCCATTTTTCATACCTTAGATTCTCTCAGAGCACATAAACTAAACAATGTATAGATAAACCAATTCATTTTAATTCCCACATTTTGATGCAAATGCAAACAGCACTGAGCTGACACACCATGACTGTTTTTCATAGCATTAGGAAAGACTACTTATTCAGTGAAAATGCTTAATAAAAAGTTTACTGGGATCTCTTTCCCGCAGAGAGAAATCAGGCCGGAGTTCCAGTTTCAGGAAATTAGAAAGTCTGTGTTAAAAACGGGGAATTAGAAAGTCTGTGGTTAAAAACAAACAAAACAAACAATCTTCCACGCCTTCCACCAAGCAAATTTAAATTTGATTACAAGCAGATTGATTTGAGTCACAGCACAAACTGGTGTAAGGGAAAAGGGAAATGGCATAACAGTTTAAATGCTCGGTACTTATGTAGCGCTCTGTACCCAGAGATCTTCAAGCACTTCACAAACTGTGAAAAACTGTTCTTCTCACCTCTCATTCAAAGAGAGAAAAGCAACAATTAGAAAGTAGTGAGAGAGCAGAGAAAGGACAGTTCTCACCTCTAAACTAAAACCAGTATTGGGATCAGATTGACCCCAAAATGGAAATGAAAATACCCAGGCCCCCTCAAGTGAAAAACATAGCTGGAGGATTCCACAATCATTCTCAGATTTGTACTGCATTTGCCCAGACAAGGTCAGCAAGATTCCAACTCTGTTGGAAAAACATCAGAAATAAATATCTTAATTTTCTGAAAAGGAATTCCTGTTTATCTCAAGCCAAACACAGATTCAACAAACAGCTTCAGTTCCCCAGAAATTGTATTCCCAGCAAACTGTCTATCAATCTAGCAGAAATTGTATCCACGGCAGTTTGTCTATTAATCTAGCAATGTTTTGGATTGGCTGATTAGCAGTCAAACTTACATTTCATCAGACAGAACATGCTGTCTTCCATTTGATATGGCAGGGCCCTGGAAAGACTCCTCCTTCAAGCTACTTATTGAAACCAGGATCCATTTCATTTTTTTGTTGTTGTTGTTTGTTTGTTTTGTTTGTTTCTTAAAAACAACAATAAACCAAAAAAAAACAACCTTGCTTGCAGTTTCAACAACTTAACTCATCAGTATTAGCTTCCTTTGCTGAAGCTCCTTGAGCCTACTAGAAACACACATTTTCAGCCCACCAACATCTTGTTGATCTGCTTGTAACATTCAGTGAAAAGCTACTGATTTATCTTTGCCTGTACATCCACCTAAGTTATGGCTGTTACCACTGTGATCAAAGTTCTAGGCACACAGGTTACTGACCTCCAAACACACTGTTTGAAGTCCCTTGTTTGACATAATCTGTGCTATTCTCTACGTCAATAGTTATTCGATCCGTTGTCTACTTCATTTACAACTGAACAAAAGCAAAGGAATAGAAACTACTAGTCAAGGCACTGCTCTTAAGCCATTTTCCAGTTGCAGTGCTGCCTAATAAGAGGCTAGTGTTCCCAAGTCTGTGGTCTGTGTTCTCTTCCCATCATAAGCATGCATCAGTGTTAGCTGTGGTTTTGTCAGATGAGACTGGCATTATGATATATACCTTATAAGCTGTAGCAAAAGGGGAAAAACAAACACAAAAGAAGGGGCAGGGGGAGGAGGAATGGAGAGGGAGAGAGAGTTGTGACCAGCAGCCTTTCACAGCTGCTTTTTAAGGAAGCATTTGTTGGGGAACTACTGTGAAGTTGCATACTCCTTGTCTTTCATTTATGCTTTAGTAATTCCTCCTCGCGCTCTCTTCCTCTTCTCTGATGCAGAGAAGATAAGTAAGCAGCACTCTCTGGAAACATCCAGAACAGTATCTACAGCATGGGGGCTCAAGCAAAGTGGATCTGGGCTGGATAACTAAGGCCATACTTGGGAAGAGGTGTAGCAGTGCCAAGCTGTGCTGTCATCTCCATCCATTTTGTGACAGAGCACAGTTGGCAGTGACCCCACCATTTTGGCTGGTATCACTGTGTGTTCAGAATCGTGAAATTACCAGAATACCACTATAAATTCTATTACTATCTGCAGGCTAAACTAACTGATAAAAAGCAAGCTTACTAAAACTAAAAAAAATGGTTTTCTAGGAGTAGATCCTAGCTAATATTCCAAATGGTGATGGCCTAACAGGAACGCATGCAGTCAGTAATGCCCAGTATGTTTAGCCTTACAGAAGTCCACAATATGGAAAGCACTGTTCTTCCAAATTACCAAACAGTGTGTTCAGGCAAAAAGAACGTGGAGTTATTTGCTCAGACATAAAGCTTATCATTATTGAGGTTAGGACTCCATTCCATTCTCTCCTAAATTGTCTTAGGATAAGCTATACCAAAACCGAACCATATCAAGCACAACTCCCACAAGGCATTTAGGTTCTTATTGATACAACACTGCGCGTCTCCATAAAGGGAATTTTACTGAGGTACTGTGTAGGAAAGGAATTTGCAGGTGGCTCCGCACTGTTTCACACGTCCCTGGATTAGAGATAATGAGGAAACAAGCAGTAGAAGCAAAAGCTTGAGCAAGGTCGAGATAAAACTGGCTACAGTGTTAAAGATGAGCTTTGGGGCAGTGGCTAATTGCTGGCAGGCTCCAGGTACGTGTCTGAGGGTCTCTAACCAATTGTATGGCAGATTCGGGCACGTGGACAGCGCATGGGGCTACAGGGAAAGTATATGTAGTAGTGAAAATGGGCAATAAACGCCTTCTGTTCAAGAGCCATCAGGAGTTCATGTCTTGCATCCCTTCAGTACTGTATTGACCCCAAGCAAAGATGGGATGGATCCTCCCATCTTCCCCATATCAACGTTCTCCATTATATTCATCAAACAATTTGTTAAGAACTTTGGTGTGAGAAGTTTATTCACAGGAATGTTCCTGTGATAAGGCTTTAATGAACCACTGTTTACAGTTTCCAGATGCAAATAAATACCTACCACGCTAGATTTTTCTTGTCCAAGTCCAGTGCTGAGATTCTCAGTGGCCATGTTAAAGGCTGCTTTAGACACCCAGTTGCCAGCTATACCATCCACCTAAAACTGAAAACAAAACATCAGATAAGCAATTTTGGCATGTGCAGCACATTCTCAAGCAGCACTATGACATAATGTGTAGGCTACAGCTATATTTGTTATATCTGAAATCAAGCCTCATGTTTATTTGCAACATCTGATTAAAACAATAATAATACTACAGCATCTATTTCTGAGTCATTTGTCTTGGGTAATTTATTTACTGAGAGCATGAGTCACACAGTTAGAAATGAGTCATTCTCTAACTTTATATTAATCTTACCCTTAGCATCACAGAATTCCTCCTTACCCATAAATTGTTGCATGCTTTGGTTCTTTTCACAATGCCAGAATGCTGGTTTATATAGAATATTTAGGTTAGCTGTTGGAACAAGTATCTTCACTTTATGTAATGCCATTCACCCAGAAAGATCTTATGATGATTTATAAATGTGTGTATTTTCAAACGTGTATGAAGATTGAGTTTTTTGTATTCTTTGTTGCACCCATATATATGGTATGGTATTCTCATGGTAGCATGAGAACACATGGCAACTTTATACAGGAGCACCTGATTGGAACTGCAAGCAAATCCTTCAGTCTTTTGAAACAGCACAGGGGAAATTGAGAAACATCAAGGTTTCACTGGCAATGGAATCTGGCCATTTACGTCTCTGTTTTTGCAAAATTGGGTTTACCTTCTGAGAGTCAGATCAGCCAGAGCTTGGCAAAACTCACCATTTTGGTGGAAACCTTTCAGTTTCCTCAGATTAGCTGCGTGCAAACTCTGAGTAAGGAAGCCTGGCCTGTTTGAAAACTTCACTCATCCTTGGCTGGAGCATGTTGTGACAGCATGAGGCAGAACAACATCAAATTAAGAACTCTACGTTGAACTACACTTGGAAATTCTCTACCTGCACAAGTCCGGATATGCCCAAAGGTAAGTATATCAGGCTGCATATTTGTATATCCAGCCAGCATATTTGACTTCTGGTTGAAGAACTGCCAAAGATGCAACTTGACAAGCAGCGTAGCCAATCTCTGAGGGCCTAACAGAACAGAAGCAGCCTGGCCCTCCTGTCCCACCAGCATTTCTGCCTGCTCTTCTGCTGCCCCAGAACTTGTTTGTCCATGCAGATCTGCTTGTCAGTCTGGCTGAAAATAATGGTTTAAGAATGTGTTTAAACAATTATCTGTTCATTAACCTTCCTTTTGAGAAGCAACTGAGACTCCGTGCCTATTTATCACATTTAACCTGCCGGCCCACTTTCAGGGAAGATGGCTGTGTTTCTCTTCAGCACTGCATGGCACAAACCCAGGTCCTTTCTCTCAGGAGTACAACTCCACACAGGACAGACTGTTTGACATGTATTAAACTCCCTGCCTTTTCTCTTTCCTACAGGATAGGCACTGTGCATCCTGATAGACTACTAAAATACAGGCTTTAGAAGAGTAAAAGGAAAAAAAAAGAGATGACTTCACACAGAAACAGGAAATGCCCTGGGTCATTTTCTATTGTCGAAGAACCATTACTTTCAAGTGCTTTAGAGATAAGTCACTGGTTGAGAAATTTGTTTTCTAAATGTGCCTTCTTTGCTTTCTATCATGTTGTAGGATAACTGTGTCACTTAATACTACACGTTTTACTTTTATATCTAAACTAAGAGGCTAGTAAAGAAAGCAAGGTTCCTCCTGGGCAATTCAGGTTGTGGTCACGTTGTTTAGCTGTACCAAGCAGAATAACAGCACTTCCAGAACAAGAATTTAACCTATGCCTGAAACAATTCTGAGCACTTTTCTCCTCTCTTTCCAGGAAGCCCAAATCCAACATGTGAAGGTCAGTGGCGTGACTATTCCACTCCATCCACATCTTCACATGGGGTCAAGGAGAAGCCCAGAGTGCCCAACGCCATGATGACATTCAGAGGAACAGTACGTAACGCCAGAGAACAGCACTAGCTTCTGAGGTCAAGACAGACAGGGGTGCTGCCAAGAATAAATGCAGCTATGTCCTGGGTATAAGAGCCAGACCGATGAGTAATACTACACTGAAATACTGTAGTGGCTGCACTGTAACATATCCTGCTCCTTGGATTTAGCCCGTCTTACATAAGCAGTAATCTTCTGGCCCCGGAACCTCATCTTTTTGAGACACCTCATATTTTTGAGATACTGCAGCATCCAGTCTTGCAGCTTCTGCATGAAACTAATAAATACGCATATATCTTAAGAAATATCTTGGCATTCAGCCAGTTTTACTACTTCTGCATTGCACTGTTCTGGGTTTGTATTGACCTCGTGCTCTAATGTACTTCTTACTAAGTTTCTAGTAAAATGACAGAACAACGGGTGAAAATGTGATCATCAATAGAATGACTTCTTTCGGTAAAATTTTCTGGGGCTGTTCTGAGGGCTCTGGAATCATTAGACCGCTACGTATAGCCTAAAATGTATGTAACACTGCAAAAGAAGAAGCAGTATTCTCAAAAAAGTCATCCTAAGGATTAAAGCTTGAGTTCCTTGCAATATGAATAATTGCCATAAGAAGCTTAGAACTGAAATAGAACTTCTGAAACCTCTATTAGAAAAACAAAACAAAACAAACAAACAAACAAACAAACAAAAAAAAACAAAGATATATTTCATTTTAGGAAAGTCAGTCCTCAGATTTTAACATTAAATTATGATTACCTATATTTATATTTGAACAGCTCTATGGCTGATTGAAAAAGAATCAGCAACACATCAAGATAAATAAAACTTTACTAATTACATCTGGAATTCATCCCCAGTCCTTCACCTGGAGACTACAAGCCAACACACAATCTGCAAAGAAAATAATTAATATACTGTAGCGCAAAATGCAGCAACAGGCCTAGTCCCAGACCTGAGTTAGAAAGATACTACGCAAATATTTGCAGAACTTAGGCCCAGGTTTAGAAAAAAAATACAAAGGCATTTCAGGGAACCAACAAGATTTGGATTCACACTTAAAACACATGTTCATGAAATCTAAGCAGCATGTACAGACAACATTTTATGAAGCAGCGAGCATGCCTAGACTGTGTCTGTCCTTCTGTATCAACAATGCTATCCAACAATTTTTAAACAAGAAGGAAGGCAAAAACCTTGTCCAGTGGCAGTTAAAGGTGTAAGATCGTGGTGTAAGGATCCCACATCCTGGGATAAAGGTGTGAAGACAGAGAAGTTGGTGTGAGTTTTGCCACTCAGCAGATGATTCAATTTACCATTCCCACTGCAAAACCACTTCTTATGGTATCTCCTGAGACATCAGCATCATGTTGATTAGGAGGGAAGAATATTATATGTCTAGTCAATACTATCAATATTTCTGTTTGTGGATTCTCTGCCTACATCCCCAATTACGTAATTTCCAGTAACTCAAAAGTACCCAGCTTACATGATGCAGTGCAATCTTAACACAAAATGAGACAGTGTCCTGGAACTGGCTGAGTTAGTGTTAATGCTGCAGGATACGCCACAAATGTCCCAGAAGTTTTACTTATCAACCAATTCTATGGAAAAGCCATCTATGCAGATTTGTTCTTAATAACAATAATCACTTAATTTAAGAGCAGTCCTTTTTTCTTGTGTAACTACATTTTTACAAAATACTTTGACTGTGTATTTTAAACAATTGTTTTAATATTCACAACAGACATGGTAAACACCTGATAACCAACTACACCATTTGCTACGTGACTATGAATAAGTCAGACAAAACAACTGATATATTAACATGACAAATACTTGTGTCAATGCAAAAACATATTTCCCCATTTTCTCCAGCTAAGGCCACTTTTGCTATAATACTGACTAATATGGTATTGTGTTGCTTGGCCTGATCAACTGACTGATGTCCAAATGCTTCAGCTCCTTTCAGCACTAAAGCAACAAATCCTTAGCCACCGTAGTGGTCTTGAGGTATTTGTTGCCAGTTGTAGAAAGACCCTAGAAAAGGCAGAACAACAGCCAGTATAGAACAAGGCACTTTGTTACATGTGCTCATTAAAGGGTTGTTCAAATTAAAATAATCTAAGAAGCTAAGTACCCTCATATAGTTGGTAACCATTTCAAAATGCTAGATCAGACCTTCAAAGCAGTGATTGTTTTTTTTTTCTGTAGTACGATAATATAAATAATTTTGAGATGTTTTCAGTTACAAAATTAAATGGTTGATTACAGCTTAAATGATCTTTTTAGTTCAACAGAGAATTGTGAAATAAAGGACAGAACGAGTAATGAGAGGGTAGAGGGAGAAACAGGAAGAATTAGTGACAGCTTCTTTGTCTCAGCTGCACTCTTAAAAAACACTTTAGTTAAAAAAGATTAACTAAGTCTGGAGTTACACAACTGAACAAAATAATCTCAGAAAATACACTCCAAACCTTCTCCTACGTAAGGCAATACATTGCCGCTCAACGAGTAATACTATCTTTATCATACACGAGTTTTTAAATAGAACTTCAAAGACTTAAAACCAGCGTGCTGATCACACGCAGCACACAAAACACAGGCATGGGACCAGCTGGCCAGGCTGCAGCTGAGCACAGCGTGCACACCATGTGGCATCCAGACAAGCCATCTTAACTCCGCTGTGCCCCCAGCCGTGGGCCAATTGGGCTGGGGCCAATTCACCCCAGGGCAGCATGCTGAGCCACTGGGCACCCCGAGGGAACAGCCACTGGGGAACTGGGGGAAAGGGAAGAGGCTCTGACCACCCAGCCCAGCCCCGCTGCTGTCACCTGCTCTGTCTGGCAGTCTGTCGTGGCTGACTGAGGGAAGAAATGCTGTGTAAGTCTGCACTGGACAGCCACCAAACTTGCTGGTTTTCAGGTGACCGCCTCCGTGCTCCAGGGATGAAGGGAGAGCTCGGGCAGGCATACCCTGAAGCACAAAATTGCACTGAAGAATCCAAGCCATTTTTCTCTTCTGTTTGTGCCTTTAATGCTAGTCTCAAGGTTCCAGGCACCAGGAGACCATCTTCCACGGAAAACCAAATTGAGACGTTGTAAGGAATGAGCAAGAGGCAAAGTAAAGAAGTGAGTTGGTCATAGCAAAATGGTATGGAACAAACTGGGAATTGAAAGCCCAAGGATATAGCTTGTTGCTTAGAAGGTATGGTGAAGGAAAACATACCTATGGCACTAAAGAAAAATAAAAAGCAAATGAACAGCCTGCAAAGTGTCGAGTTCATAAAATTAGCTGCGTACACATGAGAAATTTTGTCACCTGAAGGCAAATGATTGGGGTGGGACAGTGAGGGTACTTCTTCATAGGTTCAAATTCAGGGCAGTGTGAAATGCTTCCACAACTGTGCAAATGACAAGATAAATAACAAGCACTGCCCTGAAGGATGGGGTGAAAAGGGGCTCATGCAGCAACTACCAAGAAGATAACTCAAGAATCACACCATTTTCTGCTAAGACACCTGTGACAATAACCAGGAGCTTTCTGTGCCAATGAGCTCCAAACTAACCCTCACAGGAGGACTTTCCCAGCAACCAGACTGGAAAGGAAGCCTGTCTCTGTGAGCCAAACGCGGGAGAAGAACAGTGGACCCAGGACAATGACGGGATACTGAAGTACTTTGTTAATTCCCTGGGGAAGGTGAGTTGACTACAAAGGTACTGGAGCCAATCCTGGTTTGGCTGCTGCTCGGATGTGCTGAAGGGTTCTGGGCCAAGTCCCAGCTGTGCTGACTGTGTCTCTAATTACTTCTGACAGCTATGTAAAAGCCAACTGAGATAAGCTGTCTCACAAGGCATCTTATTACTCAGATGAGTAAACTATCCACAACTTTTGAACCCTGTCCCAAATACAAGCAGCCTATGTTTCCAAGGATAATGGGGAGAGTTCTAAAAAGTCATTTATAAAAATCTTACCCCCTTGTGGAGTGACAACTTTGCTCCACAAGTTACAGAGAATTTGAAAAGAACATAATCAAATTTCAGAAGGCAATGAGTTAATAGTTTTGGCAGCAGGTATTTGTTGTAACTGGCTGTCCTTGCACAAACCACTTAAGGAGACTATATTGGTAGAATGCCATAACGTTTATTTACATAGATGGTGTTTCATCATCTTTCACGCCAAAACAGGCTGGGTTGGTTATGCTGATCTAATGTTTTCTTTATCACAGTTTGTGTAAGGTTAGGAGCGCATGTTAAATTGTATTTTAGTTTGCTCTTTTAGAATGATGATGACATCCCTTTGAGATACTAGGTTAAGTTATGCAGCATGTGCAGTTTAATAAAAATAGCTTCAGAAATCTAGTGTTCAAACAAAACCAAAATGTTGCTCGTAGCATATCCTTTGCTATGCTCCTCACCTTAGCAAGAAAAAAAATTCTGATGGAAATAGTGCAACGTTGTTCAGAACATACCTTGCAAAATATTCTGAGAAGATCTTCAGCTTTCCTTCCCAGCAAGTGGAAGAGAAGAACTTTCAGGTTTGCCCCAGAAGCAATTTCTTCCCTTTCTTTGACAGCTGTTCTCAGTCCCCTCCTGAAAGGAACACAGGTTGTTTGGAATTAGCTGAGTTCAGTAACTTCTGTTCACAACAGAAACTAGGATACTTTTAAAAAATTAGACTCAAAGAGTCTAAAAGAGCTTTTTCGCTTATGTTTAGCAAACGATTTCAAATTCAAAGTTACATCATTTTGTGCTGTTAAAACAGAGCAACTCTTGCAAAATGGCCTGCATCCAAACCCAGATCCAATACACATCTTTTGCTGATGACACAGCCTCTGTTTAAAGAACGATGGGACTATGGGATGTAAGGCAACCTCATCAAAGCTTGATACAAGATACAAGACCTGCGTAGACTGTTTATTTATTTATTTATTTATTTTTACAGAATTCCTTGCGCTTACACGGCGCTCTTTCATCCAAATGAAAAACAAACCTCTGCGTTCGGTAGTTACGACTTGCCTTTTCCTTTTATTCCAAGGCACAGCAGACAGCCGGTCCTCGTTAGCGTTCAAAGCACCCCTGAGTGAGCCTGAGGAGAAACGTGTGGCGATTGCTGTTAGCGAGAGCTGCAGTCGGTTACCACGAGAGCCGTACGTTACCATTATAAGCGCTGTGCGTTACCGTGCCCTGCCATTCTGTAACAGGACGATCAGGACAGCGATTGGCACTCGCTGCTTTGACCAGAAACCCGGCGGATTTCCCCCGCTGCCGTCCCAGGAGCCCCCCAGGCCGCTGCTCACAGCAGGCCCCCCCACCTACCGCCTCCCCCCACCCCCCCGGACTACATTTCCCAGCGAGCCTTGCGCCGCCGCCGCATCCATTCCAGCGGCCGGCCCCTTCCCGGCTCCCAGCATGCCGCGCGGCGCGGCGCGCTGCCATTGGCTGGATTTGAATAGAGCCCGCGGCCGGTTCGCTCTGAGCCGTCCGCTGCTCCCGGGGCAGGTGCGGGGTGGTGGGGCCGGGGTGAGGGGGCTCTGTGCGGGTCGTGGCGCTGCTGCTGCTGCTGGCCGGGGGCTCTGTCAGGGCGGCTGCCGGCCTGTGCTCACTGCGCAGCCCTCCCGCTGCGGCCCCGCGGCCGGCTGGTGCCCGTTAGGCGACGCGGGGCGCAGCCGTGTGCGTGCTGTAGGCGAACAACGCGGCGGGTGTGGGGCACACGGGGCTGGGGGGGGGGCTGTGGGGTCAGGAGCGAGGGGGCTCTGAAGCGGCCCTGGCGCTGTCTGCTCTTTAACGAGCGCTGCGTGTCCCCTGCTGCCTTTAGGGAGGTGGCAGCCGTACGGTTCTCTGGTGTAGGCGTGGGGGTGGGCGTTGGAAGGCTGCTGAATCGCTGCGTCCAAAATAGTGGGAAGCCGGGCAATAAATAATTGTTGAATTGCCAAGACACTTGCTGCCGTGGTGCGTGAGTAACAGCCCAGCGAGCTACTGTAACGCCCAATAAAAGCCGCGAAGTCACCAACTGTCATAGTCACCAACCGTTAGGCTGTGGAATGTCTCTGAGGTCTGTCCCATGTTAAGCTACCCTGGGTTATCTCCACAATTCCAACTGTTTGTTAGGTCCTGTGGAGATAACTGCAGCTTGGATTAATCTTGCAAGGAGCTTTTATTCCAACTGGACACTAAATGCAAAATGTGACAAAGCGGATATGGAACAATGTGGCTGTTCTTATTAAATAGTGTATGTAAACATTTTCTAATCAGGCACTGTGGTTTTGGCAAGGTTGTGGTACACAGAAAAGGCTTTTTCCTGGTAAACAGTTGTGTTGTGGTTTAGCACAGCAGGCAGCATAGCAGCCCACAGCTGTGCATTTACCCCTTCCACAATGAGATGGGAGGGAACAGGAAAACAGTAAAACTCATGGGTTGAGATAAAGGAAGGGGAAATAATAAAATCAAAATAAGATGCACAATGCAATTGCTTACCACCTGTTGACTGACATGCAGGAACATGGTAGGCAGCAGCTTCTCCCACCTCAGCCAGCCTCCCCAGTTTTCTTGTTCAGCACTACAACACATGGTATGGGACATCCCTCTGGGCAGCCAGGGCCAGTTGTCCTGGTTCTGTCCCCTCCCAGCTCCTGGAGCACCCCCAGCCTCCTCCCAGGCAGGGCAGCAACAGAAGCTGAAAAGTCCTTGACTTAGTGTGAGTACTGCTCTGCAACAACTGAAACATCTGTGTGTTATCAATGTTTTCCTTCTCCTAAATCCACAACATGATACCATACTAGGTACTATGAAGAAAACTAACACTGTTTTATCTGGAACCAGGACAAGTTGCTTTTCACAGAAAACTGTGGCTGGTCTTAATGCGTTCTGATGTCAATGCTTCTGTCCAAGTATTGGAAGCTTGATGTGCAAGCCATGAACAGTGTGAAGAAAGCCTTCTCCTGAAAGAAGTTATGGGTGTCACTTAGCCTCATGTCATCTGTCAGAGTTTAGAAACTCTACATTATCTAGAAATAGCAAACAAAATACTTAATATATCATCTTGCAGGATGGACCCAATTTGGGATGAAGATAAATTTTTCAGACCATCCTACGTTACAAGTGCTGAGCTGCCTCAAAGAACAGGACCAGTAAGTGTGGAAGATATTAAAGCAGATCTCTCTGATGAATTTTCGTTGGTTTCATCAAGCTCTGATACAAGCCAGGAAAGAAAGCTTTAAATGCTTACATTATTTTGATTGTTTTAATAAACGTAGTTCTTTCATTGGTAAGAATCATTACAATTTTACAGAGGAGATGAAAAGCTTCTTTACTGTCCTTTTAATTTGAAGGGTATGCATAGGATAGACAAAATTGCGGTGATGCACCTAAAAGGTGCATCATCTTTACATGTGGATGAGGCTAATGTCAGATCAGTGCAGCTTAATCATAGGATTTTTTTTATGTATTTTGTTCTTGCAATGCAGTATACATATGTGCTATAATATTATTTGTTTTGAGACTTTAGGTTATCACAGGGAACTACTGTAGGGGCCTGAGTGCTTGTGAAAACTGACATAGTGAGTTATTTTTGCTTCCTGTGTCATCAGATGAGTCTATCCAAAATAGCCTAATGAAAACAGCAATGCCTTAACGTGCTAGATATCAAACAGAATCTAGTCAAACTTCTAACTTCATTCTCATCTTTTATTTTAAGAGGAGCAGTTTGGAGTCTAAAGGACACATTGAAGTTTGCCTGCGTGTTAGGCCATTTACATTATTGGAAAAAGAAAATGAATCACAGGTGTGACATTTATTTAATTAAAAAATATATATGCCTTTCCAGTAAGGTGAGCTTTTTACTCTTTTTCATGTCTGTTTTGCTTTTGCTTCCTTTTAATAGGACTGTTTTTTAGTGGAGGATTCAACAAGTATTATACTGAAGCCCCCTAAAAATTCCTTGAATCGACTGAGTGAAAAAACTGCTGGGCAGCAGATACAGAAATTCACTTTTTCACAGGTAAATGACTTGTCTTTAAAAGCTTTTAAGTTATTTATTGGGGGGGGGGGGAAAATGTTGCTTGACTTCTATTACTTAATAAAAGCAAAACAAGCAAACTTCTTTTAATCTTTTAGTCTAAGATTAAAAACAAAACAATACCTGGTTCTTTAAAAGTCTTTAATGATTGATTAAATAAAGATATTAACCGGTTTCTTGGTAATGTTCAGGTTTTTGGACCTGAAACAACTCAAGAAGAATTCTTTGAAGGTACAATGAAGCAACCAGTGCAAGACTTCTTAGAAGGATATGATCGTCTTATTTTTACATACGGTGTTACAAATGCTGGGAAAACATACACGTTCCTAGGTATGAGTAATGACTTTTTTTCCTTGAACTAATGAACTAACTTTCTTCACTTAGTAAAGTGAGAATTCCTTCTGGTAGAGTCATTCTAACTCTTTCATTTAGTGATGCTACAGAACCTGCATGTTGGCTTCTCTTTAATATTAGCAAATATTAGTAAATTGCCTTTGAAAGTCTCATTCCATAACAAATATCATTAAACTGGCAGCAATTGGAGTCACTACCAGAATTTATGTATACATACAGTGATATTCGTTTGTAAGGCTGTAACAATTTTAGTCAGGTGTCTTGAATGTCAGTGTGGGGCGGTGGGGGGTTGAGAAAAAATACATGTTCTACACACTTCTCACATCCTGGTATATAAGTCACTCTACAGCAGGCTAATTTCTTTTTTTTTGTTGTTGCTACATTGAAGTTACATACGTATCTTTAATGCTGTTCCTTGTTTGAAGAAAGCATATCTGAGTTTGTAACATTTGTCATAGGCAAAGAGCAAACATTTCAAAATGTTTGATTACTTTTAAGTATTTATACCTTGCCTCAAGTATCCGAGTTTAGCAATAATATCACAGCACATCAGGAGTCAAGATCATCTATTTTTGTACTGTTAAAGCTCAATCTCCTTTCTGGCCAGAAGATGTCCTTCTTTATTTTTCAACCAATCTTAACAAATGAGGTGACCGGATTTACAGAGAATCAAGTTCCCCTTTTTCTTTATGATACTTTCAGTAGTTCTAGATGCTATATGAATTACCTGATACACAGAAGTAGTAGAAGACAATCGGTATTCTAGTGATCAGTCATTTCAATAAATGTGAATTTCCTATGACACAAGGTTCAGTGTCATTCTAGGTTATGTTCTTTTAGGTGAATTATAAGTGAAGACTACTGCCCGTGAATTCAGTTATCATTACTTGGGGGTGATAATGCCAACTATTTCTTGTTGTAATAGAAACAACATTTCTTTTTGATGTGAACTGGGTTGGGGTATGTTATGAGATGTGGCTATTCATTAACTTTTTTGATTAATGCATTTTTAGATTTGATGCTTTCTCAAGGTATCATGCTTCTAGGTCTTCACCATTCAGCCCTGTCAATTCTTACTATTGCTCAATATCTAAGTCTTTAAAAACACATAGATAACTTTCATAGAGCGTTCCGTAACTTTTCCAGTACATGGTCTCACTTGTGTTCGCAATAGACTTTTCAAACTTGTAAGGCTAAGCTTATACAGTTTTTGCTGTCATTCTTTGTGTTATGGTGGATCCTGTACTATCAAAGGAATAGAGCATGAGCTGCTGCTTCAAGCCAATACTTTCCAAAAGCACTCTGACATAAGGACATGGAAAACATTACTTCTGGCTGTAACTGGCCTCCGAATTCCTCATGTATGCCTTGAGATTGGAATCACTTATCTTTGTCCTCATGTATGTGTATATCTTGTTTACAATAGTAACTGGTATCTTTCTTTTGGATGCTGCTTACAGGAACTGAAGATGACATTGGTGTTCTGCCAAGGACTATGGATATGCTGTTCAAAAGTATTCAAGGAAGGCTATACCCAGGAATGGATCTCAAACCCCATCGATGTAGAGATTATGTAAAGCTGACTAAAGACCAAGTGAGAGAAGAAACTGCTATTAAAAACTCTCTACTTCGTCTAACAAAAGAGGTAGAGGAGCGCTTCTTTCTATGATAAGCACATGCATCTTAGATAGCTCAGTGTTCCTCCTGTTCATTTTTCAATGGAAAGAGGCTTCTGTGTTTATGCATGGGTATATCTACTATTGGGCAGGCACTCAAATTAGCAGTAAAGTAAGCAATAGAGCTAATGAGCCGTGGTCTCCTGTGGATTTGTTTTGTAGCTGAATGCTTGATAGCATGTAAGCTCTAAGGTTTTTTTTCTATAGCTTAAGCACTTAATAACTTATCCTCTGGGGTTGCTGTTTCTTAATAAAGACTGAATGTAAGTAGCACCCAATCTGTGGGGACATGGGTAGGTCCATACCTTTAAACAGTTTACTGGCTTCCAGGACACCTGGAAGAAATTCATGCTCTTCAGGACATTTCCCTCTTTCAGGTTGGCATTGTGTATTTAAAGGAAGCCAAAAATTATTTTGAAATGGAAAAGGCATAAAGCCAGCGGAGCTTTAAAGATTTGAAACAAAATAGGTTTCTGGTAGTCTTAGCAGATAGCTGTCATTAACTGTTGAGCGGTCCAAAAATACACTTCAGTTGCATGAGTTATCTGGAATTCAACCTGCTTAGTCCAATTACAGTTGTGGGGGCTGTGTCTTACACTAGCATACTTCTTTCTTGGTGTTTTTAATTCAGAATGGATGGTGTATTACAAAAAAGGAGCAGATGCTACAAACTAAAAATAGAGAGTGATTCTTGTGCTATTTTCTTTTTTCATTGGGGAAGATTGAAGCATTTCCTTAGTGGTGTGCTTGGTCTTACTGGGGTATTCTAACTTGTGGAGTTCGTTACCTTGATTTTATCTGTGAGTTAAGTGTGAATTTCTGTGGTGTGGAAGGTAGGTGGCAGTACAACTCACTTTAAAGGCACAGGCATGTATTCAGTATAGCTCCAACAGTCTTTAAGTACTTTAGGGGAAAAAAGTCTTCTCTGTGTGTGTGTGGGGGGAAAAAGCTGTGTAAAACTGATCTAGGTTGAGTGAGAATATAAGAATAAAATAAACGGCTGTGTGTAGGTACATGCAGTAACAGTAAACAAATCTGTTCACGTGATGTATGTGCCTCCTCTAATTTCTAGAAGTGTGCTCACAGGCCGCACTTCAATGATACATCCTAAAGTCTCTGTTTTTTTTTTTCTGTAGGTAGAGCATCAAAATACTGCCAACAGCAAAGCACCAGTTGATTCTAAGGGTATGTTTGATACTAAAGAACTACCATTAATAAAACTGGCAAAGATGCTTTTTAAGGTCGATAACTGGCTTCTGGCTTAGGTTAAATGCCAAATGATCCTTTTATTATTATTATTATGACTGAACTGAATAATGAGCAAGCTATCTAGACAGAAAACACAAGGATGAAATGGTTAGGAGACTACCTGTGCATCTACCCTAAACTGGTATTATACGAGATAAAACTACCTAAATACAGCTCACTTTGCTAGCTCTGTTTACTTTGTAATATTTTGTTCTTGACAGACTTGGAAGAACCCTTAAAAGGACCAGAACAATCTAGCACAACAGTGGAAAATTACTTGAAGTTCTCTGTTTGGGTATCATTTTTTGAGATATATAATGAATGTTTTTATGATTTACTGGTTCCTATATCAAATGACAAGAAAAGAAAAACACTCCGCCTGGCTCAAGATGTCAAGGGATGTCCTTATGTAAAAGGTGATTAGAATCTATTGTAAAATGTGGAGCTTGGTATGGAAAATTGTTCTTCCTATAGTCATGTTTTTCTAGATTAGAAAATGCCTAAATAGATTCAGTGAAGCACTAGAAATGTCCAGTTGAATATGAAAGGCAAGTCTATATACAGCTCTTATCTTCAATATTGTCTTCCCTTTCCCTGCATGTAGGCCTGTGTGGATTCCACAGTCTTCATATTTCTTAGAAACATAGAAACAAGAGAATCTTAAATCTTATTCTTTTCCATTTAAAAAAAAAAAAAAAAAAAAAGTTCTAGAAGTTCTTACCTGTGGTTATAACTGGCTCAACAGTTAGGTTTCTTAGTATCTTCTGTGGAAAATCAGATTTTAGTCACCATATAAGAAAACTTGTTCTGGCTACAGATTTACATTTTACAGTACTTCAAACCAATAATATTACAAGTTTGATTATTGGTTTTGGGGGGTGGTATCAGACCTCACATATAACAATTCAATCTTCATGTCGGGTCCTGGAAAAAGTAGGGTTTGATACTTGTTTGACTTGTTCTACTTTTTTTGACAATTGAGATGCCAATTCTAGATTATTAAAAGCTTGTTTGCTGGTATTTGGCATGTTTTTATCTTACATAGGCAAGGCCATAAATTGAGAAAGCTGAAGTGGACGTTAAACCTAACTCATTCACTTCTTCAAACACCAAAGTGTGTGAAATAAGAAATAGCCTACTTCGAGCTATGCTTTGGCTTAATCTTGATTATAAAGCTTAGTGTCAGGCTGTTATTGAGAGAAACACTTAATGATTTGTTTTTTCTTGAGGAACCACTTAAGGACTCTTTTTTTTTTTTCTTGGTCACATGGTATACTTGACAATACAATTTTGGTGGCCTTTCTGCTGTTGATATTATAAGATGTGTTAGGGTGACTGTAGGTATTAACTCTAGCACATACAGAGATGAAATAGTCATTATGTTGTAGCCAAAATTCCTCACTGATGCTTTTTCAGTTAAGTTGGTGGCCCGAAAAGGTATCCAGATAACCTGTTGTGGGTGTTCTTCCCCATACTCCCAGTCTGCTGGCTGAAACAGAAAGTGGTTCGCGTATTCTGCCTTAATGCATACATAGGACTTTTGTAATATTAGAGCCTACCTCGTTTTTTCAGTGCTCATGCTAAGGCTGCTTGCTTAATTTGGATAGAACATGCTTTGGTGTGTTGATAGGATGAAATGATGTGATATACCTTGCCCTTTCTTTTTCATTGGAGGAGGAATTTAATCCTCTCTGTTATCATTCTATAATTTGTCTGAAGAGTTTTAGTAAAATTAGTAAAAACATTAGTAAAATGTTTGTATGGCTTGAAAATGTATAATTCTCCGTGTGCATATATTATCCCCAGCTTTCTTCTTCCTGTTGTCTAATGATGGTTACAAAATGATTTTCTTTTTTCCTAAAGATCTGCAATGGGTTCAGATCTCTGATTCCAGAGAAGCTTTTAGACTTCTGAAACTGGGGCTGAAACACCAGAGTATTGCAAGTACAAAATTAAATACTTCCTCCAGCAGAAGGTGAGAAATTTTGAATAACATAGAATATAAGATGGTGTGGGTGGAAAGGAGAAGCTAAAATATGGACTGTGGCTTTCGGAGGGTAAGAGGTTTTAACAAGTTCTAGATACATAGGTTTCAATTTGTCCTCTAACAGCATGTGACCCCATGCTTTAAATCCAAAGGATTCTTCCTTCAAGAAGATGAATGTGTATAAAAGCTAACAATATTTTATCAAATATTCTCTTCAAGGCAGACGAACTTAGCTTTAGTCCATCTAGATGTCTGGGGGGGGCAAAATCCATACAACAAAAATTTATATCCCGAAAGAAAAGCTGAAAAGAATAGAAGGTTTCATGTAGATGAAGACCAAGAAATTCTTCCTCTAAGCAAAATAATTAGTGTGAGTTCCAGCTGTTTAAAAAGTTTAATGTATCTGGTAGAGTAAATGCTTAGATACATGGACAGATTTAACGGGGTTTTGAACAAGTGTTGTAGATAGCAAAGTGTTTTTTCTAAGTTTTAGTCTCACTTCATTTCTCTCTACTGACTTCCAACTTCTTTCAGTCACAGCATATTCACAGTTAAGGTACTGAAAATTGAAGATTTTGAAACACCCCGGGTGATACGAGTCAATGAGTAAGTTCAGAGCAGAATTCACCTTTTCCTTTGGGATGTGTCATTAGTTGCCTTCCATGCTGGTGTATTGGTACTATGCTGTACACCTAGTGTTCCCTGGCCTCATGCATAAAACTATGGTTTCCCCACTTCTTATCTATTTGTAGTACTAAGCCTTCTACCTCAAGCTGTCAGGTTGCAATGTTCTATATCTTGCATCCTCTGCTCAGCACAATGTTTCCCTACCCTGCTTCACTCTACTTATGAAGTCATACAAGTCCTCACGGAAGAGGATGAAGGGGAAATATAGGAAGCTTTTTGGGAAGGGGTTTGGCAGGAAGTAGTGTCAAACTTGACTGGGGAAGCAATGCTGAAAAGGTGGAAGGGTTGATGTAGATGAAGACTAAAAAATCCTTTCTCTAAGAAAAGTTGATTAAAGTGATAAATAATTAGCGCATATTCCAAGGCAAGAAAGCTGAATTTTCCTATTTTTGCCTTTAGATTGTCACTGTGTGATCTTGCTGGTTCAGAAAGATGCACCAAGACACGTAATGAAGGTGATAGATTGAAAGAGAGTGGAAATATAAATACCTCTCTCCTGATTCTAGGCAAGTGTATTAATGCACTCAAGAACTGTCAACAGTCAAAGTAAGTCCTACAGATTGCAAACATGTATATACATATATATATATACACATATATACTTCTCACGCATTGCATACAACAGTTAAGCTAGTACTTGAAATATACTAGCTGACGCTGAGTTTCTTCTGGAAAAGATGGATAGACTTTCCAGATGTATAAAGTCTTTTTGATCTACTAAAGTGCTCTATAAATTTGTTTGCTTTGCTTTTTAATTAAATCATTAAATTGTAAATTGGTAAACATGCTGTCATAGGTTTTAGCAATTTAACTCTTCTGAGTTTGGCTTGTCAAACAAATTCTGGAATGACTTTTAAAACCACTTTTCAGTACCCTTACTGTAAAAGGATGAACGTTTAACTCATTTATTTCTCTGTTAACAATTTGCTATGTAATTCTACTGTCCCAATTTTCCTCACAGTGATATTGCTACGTTTATCCTAACAAAAAGAATTGTTTTTCCAAATTTTGATGTAACACTAGCCAGATCAGAAAGAATGGTAACCATATGCAGACAAAAAAGCCTACCTGCTATTTATAGGCTAGATTGGGATCTAAATGAGAGTAGACTGAACTTTTTGTATTTTAAACAACTGTACAATATATATTGTCACATCTGGTTGTAACTTTCCAGGAATTCTTTTCCACAGTTTCTCATCTAAAGATCTTTCTGTTCCAGAAGTTGAATGAACTCACTTTGCTCATGATATGCCCTTATGAGCTTTACCACTTGTGCCATTACGCTGTGCCTGACAGCCTATTCACAGACTATTATGCTTAAAAGATTTTTTTTTTTTTTTTAAAAAAAGCTTTGCTAGTGACTTGCAGTCTCCTATCTTTCTGTCCATTCTAGATAGGAAGGATGCATTAAAACTACCAGATTCTTAATGGGCTTGAATGTATTCAGAATGTCTTTCTGGTCCTAATAACTTGGAATTCTAACAACATACAACAAATGTTCTGAAGCATGATTTCTTAAAATATTTGACTTTTTTGCAGTTATTTTTCTTAAAATGATTGGTTATTGTTCCTGCTTGTGGGTCACATGTTCTGACAGTGTAACTGCCTTGATATGTTCTGTAGCATTATTCATGTAATTCAATAGCTGTCATGTGAGGCTGTGTGACCTACCCTAGGTTAAATGTTGAACGTGTTAAAGGGCTCCCATTGGTAGTTTTACTGTATCCTAACTGAGAAGATAATGATTAAGTAGCAGCTGAAACAGCCATGCAATCTCCATGAGCAGGTGTATCTAGCAAAAAACAATTTTAATTCATATAAATATTACTGTAGTTAGTTATAGCTTGTAGTCTTCCAGCTGGATAGCTCTTATATTGACTGGAACTTTTTTAACTTCTGGCCATGATTTTTTTTTTTTTTTTTTGTCTTCAAAGGCTGCAGCAGCACATACCATTTCGGGAAAGTAAGTTAACTCATTTTCTTCAAGGATTCTTCAGTGGAAGAGGGAAAGTATACATGATAGTAAACATAAGCCAGTGTGCTTCAGCATATGATGAAACACTCAATGTGCTGAAATTCTCGGCCATTGCACAAAAAGTAAGTGTGTAGTTGTTTATCTTGTTGATCAATAATTATGATTTGCATTTAAAGAAGGGGCTCTCTCACTTCTAAGAACATGAATTTAATTACTGCATTTTCTGTCCCCATGTTGTGATCAAATTTTCTAATTACTTTTAGTCAGGCTTTATTTTCTTGTGAAGTGTCTAAGAAGCTCTACTAGAACATTCTTTTACTTTGGAGTGTGAGGGCAGGAACATCCTCTACCAAGAAAATCCTCTACTCCTGCAAAATGTCTAGCCTGAATGGAAGAGGCTTCTTATATTTGGAAGAAACTCCCTAAAATAAATCATCTTAACTCAGTTAAACACCTGGTCCAAAGTATGTACAACAGAACTGACCAGGCTTTCAAACTGCATTGTCTGTCATGAATAAAATGATCTGTGCCTTTGAAGTTGATTTTAACTCCAAACTATAGCAACACCTACAAGCTCATCACTTCAGTGTCGTAAGAACTGATGATTTGTCCTTCAAACAAATTGGCAATTATATGAACTCTGTACATAGGAAATTCTTTTTTGGGTGGTAAACTCATTGATTGTATGTGAATCTTCACATTTTTGCAGTTTCCCAAGCTCTTGCTCTGCCTTCTATATTGTTGAAAGCGTTGTGCTCTCGGTATCTGAAGGCATACTTGCTCTTGCTTTAAGATATGTAATTGATTTCTATGGGGGTTTTCAGAGGAACATCTTACCCAAATATTTTTTGTATGCAAATACATTTACAAAATGTACTAAGACTTAAGTGCTCATTTTGTAAAAACTTCAATGTAACTGACTTTATTTTAATCCAGGACAAGACTGTAACTAGCATTAAAAGAAAAATGGCAGAGGAGAGCTCTAACAAAGTAGCTGAAAGCAGTCAGGTAAAGGAATCTGAGGAAACTGTATTGGAAGCGGGAAGAAAGCGTTCATTAGGAAATGAACCTACTGTGGAAGAAGAGCCACCTACAAAGAAAGGTACAATTTCTACCGTCACAGGACAAGGTGTCTTTCAAAAAAACTTGATTCCTATTCCAGAGCAGAAGCCAAAAGTTGCAAAGCGTAAACTTTGTGGTATGAGGAGAAAATCTGTGCTAAAATGTAAATGGAAGTAACTGTTATGTCAATGCTTGTTTGCAGAAGGTCTTATACTGTTCACTCTTAAAAGCTTAAAATACAAGTTAGTTTTTTAGACTGCTTCCTCTGTTGCTTTTTCCTCATCTGCTGATAAACTCCCAGACTCAGTAGTAATTCTAATCTTCAGGATTGTTCTCATATTAACCTTACTTCCACTTCTGCTCTTCTTCCGGGAGAGTAACATCACCTGCTCAAGTGCTTCAGAATTTCTCAGGACAAGCATCAAAGCTGTCAATGACTTATTAATTGCTCAGTCATACAATATGTGCTGTGAGACAATGTTTAATTCTGTGTGTGTGCTGTGAACACACCAGCACTGGTCAAGACGATAGTTCTGGCAAAGAAGAAAAGATTTCCATCTGAATAGGAGTAACTATTTAAGTCCATAGCTGGCCTGTTGCACACGTCTTGCTTTTTTGAACCTGATGCTCAGTAGTCTTAAGTAGTTCTGAGAACACTTTAAATGGAGTTTACTTTGTCAGCATTCAATCAGTTTCTCTTCCCCTGAAAAAATAAGGCTTTGACCTTGCTTAGCCTTTGATTCCCTATCTCTTCCTCACTGCAATTGAGGTTTTCTATAGTATTAAAGCTGAGTGAGAGTCGCAATGACTGCTACCTATTATTACTATTTTTTCCAAGAGCAAGGTTCCAACTCCATCCAATGTTTCTATGAGACTGTGTGGCATGACACTTAAAACATGGCCACGAGCCTTAACACTACTAGGAAGATTTTTCTTGAAGTCTTGAGGATGAGTAATAAGTCCTTGGCAGTGCCAGCATGGCTTACTGTTTGTGTCATCTTGTGGATTAGACAGAAGGATTATTTCAAGGAGTTTTCTAAAGCCGTATCCTCAGCAAGACGTTAAATGAAATATAGATAGAAGAGTGGTTGCTGAGTCTAAAGTACACATTCAGAAGTCTTAGCTTGTATGTTAAACTTGAACGCAAGTTATCTGTAATTGTATGGAAGGGAATGTAATGGTGGATCATTAGACGCTATAGAAATAGGGCAGCTGTTACTTGATAATAGGCTTGTATGTGGAGGGAGACAAGGACTGGCAACCAAGTTGCATGTGAACACACAAGATAGCGTTTGAAGCTGGAACTAAAATTGTCTTTTTATAGTTGAATTCATAATGGTGTTCTACATTATTTTTCTAGAAATAATGGTTATTGTGTAATTATTTGCCAATTTTTAATGGATGTGAATTATCTTTCAGGATGGAGAATATAGCGTAGTGCCAGGCACCTGCATTGATCTTGAGGGCATTATTGATTCTCTGCAGAATGATGTCATTGATATTAAAAAGCAGGCAGAAGCAGCACATAGGTACATTGTGTCCCTAGAGGACCCACAGGAAGCTGTAGGTTGGCTTGAAAACCAACTGGGAAAAATTACCACTGAACTAACGAAGACCAAAGAAGAACTGACAAAGAAAACCACTGAACTAACCAAAGCCGAAGAAGCTGACACAGAAAAACAGGGGTGAGTTGAGTATGATTGATATGGAAGGCAGAAGAAATAGTTAACCAAGGTGAAATGGAAATAATTCGTTTGAGCGGGAACTGGGGGGCGAGGAGGGAAACTCTAGAACTGGGAACCATGTTGCATACCAGAAGTGGTAACCTGTTGTGTGTGTATTCAGGTTGAACAACACAAATGTTGGTTGTTCCATTTTAGTTTTTCTAGGACAAGTCTGCAACAAACAGTTATAAACTTTCTGAAGTGTGGGTAGAATGCCTATGTTATTGATGATTATGTTGTAATCCCTACGCTTTACATGATGTTGAGGCAGTGTTTTCAGGTACCTTGTGGAATATTGACAAAGGATACAACAATGATTTCAACATTCTCTTGATATGACTTACGCTTAATATGGGTTGCAAGACTCCATTATCCTTCTCCAAGAAATCTAGACGACGTTTGAAATGTGTTCTATGAGAAGTTAATGTGAAAATGAATCAATTTATTCAGAAGCTACTTAGGTACACGAGTATTTAGAAAAATGCACTAGTGAGTAAACAATATAATGGCTGCTTATATTATGCAGACTTCTCTGTATGTTACAGACCTTGAAATGCAGATGACTAAACTGGATGAGTCTGCTGAGCAACTTAAAAAAGCAACTGAGGTAATTTTATCAAGAAAATCTTGTGCTTCTTCTGGTAGCTTAAAATGCTTTTTTTCAGTCCGTTTATAGCTCTTTCGCTTGAGCTTATCTGAACTTGCTTTAAAATGCATTGTTTAATTCAACGACTTAATACTACATTAGAAACTGACTGAACTGCTGTTTCATATTTCCAAGAAAATGAATACACAGAATACAAGGATTCAAGAACTAATGGACATTGTGGGGCAAAAGGATGATGTTATTACAAGGCTACAAGATTTAATATCCCATTTAGAAGAAACTGTAAAAGACTATGTAAGTTGTACATATCTCAATTTTCTTTATAAGAAAAAAAACCAAACCTATGCTTGCCATGGATTTATCTGTTTTGGAAAACTAATTTTCTGTAAGTAGTCATAACTTCTAGGTTCAGTCTCAACACGCTTGTTTCCATTTCAAGCAATACCAAGTGGAAAGTGTGTGTGTTGGGGTTGAAATATGAAAGACGAGACTTCAGAAGCATGGAACTAAATTACTGGAGGACTATTGATGAGACTGAGTAGGCCCTCTAAAGAAACAGCTCACACTGGGAGGGCTTAGGCAGTGGGAACAAACAGATTGTGTCATTGACTGTACTTTGGCCTGAATGAAAGGGAGGACTGAGAGGAAGAGTTCAAATTTAATTGAAGCTTCAGGTTAATAATATAAAGATCAACTGCGTGAATTAGGAACGAAAATGTTAGTGTGGCCCAACAACCATCATCCCACAGACCCACTTCCAAAGGAAGAGCCAGAGTATGTACAACCAGGGTATCTCTG